AACCCAAATTAGCTTCATTTGGGGACTTGGGATAAAAGGATTAGCATCTTTAATCCTTGTTTGAGATTGAAAACCTAAGAACCCAAATTAACTTCATTTGGGGACTTGGGATGAAAGGATTAACATCTTTAATCCCTGATTTGATATTAAAACCCTTATAATGGAATTTGAAACATGAAAATGGATTAGGGCACACTAATTGACAATCTTGGTACATAAGTGAGATTGGATTGCTTTAGGAATGAGAATTGATCCTAAAGTGTTATCTTGTATCAGTGATCGCTGAGGATTCAGACTGAAGGGGCTCGAGGAAGCGGAAGCCGGAAAAGGCAACGCTAGTCCCAGGTTTGATTGTGCGAGGTAGGATTTCTATCCCTTTTCCTGGCGAGCCTGTTTTCAAAAAGGATTTTGGCCTTGAAAATGTTTTAAAGAAAGGGATTGGTTTGCGAAAGTAAAATGTTTTAAAAACCATGGCTTGTTTGTTTATGGAAATCCTTGGCTTGTCCTGTCCATGGAATCCATAGCTTGTCCAGTCATGGAACCTCATGGCTTGCCCAGTCATGGGGCCCGTGGCTTGAGTAGTTCGGGGGGTCATGTGAACGATTTCATAATGTTAAATGAATGATTCCTTAAGATAAGAGATCTTGCGAACTGGTAATAGAGTCTATTGCTGTAAGCCTAGATAGGATGCGGAGAGTGCATCCTCGGGGGCAGAACCCGAAACTCGGTCCGGGTAGGCGAGGCACTTGGTTAGGTAAGTAATTTGTACTAATTACTTGCTGGAGCCTGTAAATGGTTATTTTCAGTTATATTTCCTTTGAGGAAAAGGATGTGAGGTTCCGGCTGTTCTGTCGGGACTGAATGTCTTATTTTATTTATGTATTCAATTATTTATTCATGCGCTCATTTATTTTAAATATTTCAAATTATATCCTACTGGGCCTTTCGCTCACGTTTTATGTTTTAAATGTTAAACCCCTCCCAGGAGACTCGAGGAGCGGTGTATGGTAGTTGGAGTTACTACTGTTGGATCAAGTGAGGATTGAGTTTATCCTCTTGAACAAATGTAAGGAATTTGAGAAATTATGTAAACCTATTTAATATTGGATTTACTAGACTGTGGTTGATGTCTGTTGTAATGATTAATTACATGAGCATGTATGTACGATACTGTATGTCCTGTGGGGTGGAGCCCTGTGTGTCAGAGGCTCCTGGATTATGTCGTTTATTTA